TTGGTGCACACAGTGGCATTGCCTGGGAAGGTTCTCTCTAGTCACAGTGAATTTTTTTGGTAAAAGTAGTTTCAATTTCACTCAAACCTCTGTTGCTATTATATAACATCCCTCTTGTATCTATTTCATCTGTTATTAAAATAGACACTCCTGTTTTCCTTAATGTTTTCATTATCCTTTTATTTTCAATTTGTCTATATTGTTATATTGCAATTGAGTTTCTTACAGACAGCATGTAGTTCAGTCATGTTTTTCATTCACTCCAACTTTTAACTGCTATATTTTGATCTTTTACATTCAGTTTATATATGGATATATTCGGGATTCTGTCTGTCATGTTATTTTTTTGTTTTCTATTCTTTCTGTTGCTCTTTCTTCTTTTTCCTACCTTCCTTTGGTAATATGAATACTTTCAAAAACAAAACAAAATTTTTCATTGTGAATGAGGTGAAGATTTACAGATCATCAGTTTTACCTTCAACAATTCATACGCATTTTGTTTCAGCTTGTCCATCGCAGGCCCCTGCATGCACCATCCTTATCCCACTTCCTCTGTGTGCTTCCTGCTTCAGTTCCTCCTTTCCCCACCTCTGTACTTTGTCCTTGAGCGTTTTGGAGCCCTTTGTACATAATTTAGTTTACCCAACTGGTGTTGACATTTTACCAGTTAAAGTGGAGTGTAGACATCTTGCCTCCCTTTATGTCCATCCCTAATATAATTCTCTTAAATAGGTCCTCTCTGCATATCTGAACCACAGTAATTCATAATTTGGCTTCAACCATGAAGCATCGTTTTTAAAACCTGAGTGGACAAGGGAGATATATTTTGTTTACCCATATTTTTATTCTTTCCGTTCTGTTTTCTTTTTTCCTGGTGTTCCAAGATTCCTTCTTTTTTCACTTCCTTTCTGCTGAAAGTACTTTCAGCACCTGGAAGCTAGTGTATCACTTCCTTTTGGCCTTCATGGTTTCTAATGAGAAATTCCCTGTGGTTTTCCCTAGTCATAACGTGTCACTCCTTTCTTAATAATTTCAAGACATGTTCCTTTCTCTTTAGTTCCCAGAAGTTTGATTTTGATTTGTAGAGTTCTCCGGCTTTATTGTAAATGGGGATCACTGACCTTCTTCAGTGATCTGCTGTAGATTTATGTCTTTTACCAAAATTAGAAAGTTTTCCACTAGTATTCTTCAGGTACTGCAGCCCTGTTTTTTTCCTCCTCTCCTTCTGTGACCTTAATGACGCCTCGTGGGTCTCTCCGGCTCTGGTCATGTTGCTGTTGTTGTTGTTGTTCTATTTTCTCTCGGTTAGTCTGATTGGGTTATTTCCACTGTGCTCTTTCAAGGCTATTGATTCTTTCCTGTCTCTTCCCATTTTGCTGTTGAGCCCATCTGTTGCACTGATTACTGAATTTTTCAGTATTTCACGTTTCCATTTAGTTCATCTTCTATTTCTTTTTTTAAATGCATGGTGAAAATATACACAGGGTATCGTTCAACAATTTCAACGACATTGGTTACCTTCTTCAGGGTGTGTCACCACTCGCTCCCCACATTATATCACTGACATTGAAGCAGACATGTGGATGTGAGGTGCCTGCAAGTCAGTTCTGACTCAGAGAGAGCCGCTGTACAGCAGAAGCACACAGCACGGGCCTGCACCCTCCTCACAACTGTTACACTTGAGCCCGGTGTTGAAGCCATGATGTCAGTCCACCTCCTTGAGGATGCCCAAAGTATGTGAGATTAAGTCTCACCATCCTAGCTTCTAAAGGAGGTATTTAGCTGGACCTAAGAGTATCGCAGCTTTATCTGGGTTGCTGTTGTTGTAAATTGGTTTTCAGTGGCTTCTTCCCCTGAGGTAGGGAACAAAGTCCTTCTTCGCTGTCTGTTCTTAGTCTGGAAATTCCACATAAACCTGTTCACTGTGGGTGACCCTGCTGGCATTTGAAATACCAGTGTGACATAGCTTCCAGAATCATAGCAACACGAAAGCCGCCATTGTATGATAAACTGACAGACAAGTGGTAGATTCATAGTTGAAATCATATATAGGGTCTCTGAGATTGTAAATCTTGACTGGGGTAGACAGCTTCATCTTTCCCCTGAGGAGCAGTTGGTATGTTTGAACCATTGACCTTATGGTTAACAGCCCAACCCCTAAGCCACAGCACCATTTGGGCTCCTTACTGTAGCTGTAGAGTATGTTTTAGCACCCTATGTGTGCATTCTCCTGCTTGGCTGCTCTCTTTCACATTTGTTTTCGCGTTCTCTTTTCGCTACCTTATTCTGACAAAGCTCAGCAGGGGAGTTGGAAGGTGGCAATACCTCATTATTGGATGGTGGAGGTAGAAGTTCAGGTTCCTCTCTCAACTTCCCTTGAGCAGACAGGGGTGCTTGTCCTATCTCCCCAGCCAGCTTCCACTGATAGTATTCTGGCTCGGAAATGGGAGGAGTGCCTTGTTTCTTTGTTTACTGAAACACAATTGTGGTGGCAGTAATGGCGTGGGGGGGAGGGGAGAGGCTTATTTTGGTGGGTAATAGTAAAAGTTCCGACTATCCACTAGGCCTCTTTTGATACCACTCAAGCCGGAAGTGAGAGGGACACTTGATGACTGCTCTGTGGGGATGAGAATCTCTATTCCCTACTATGTCTTTCATCACTCCAGGCTTTTGTGGGGGCTCTTTATGCCTGGATCCATTGCTGTTTTAAGTTTCTGGCATATTCAGCTCCAAGGCTGGGATGTACTTTGCAAAAAGAAAACAACTCACCAGCCTGTTGGCTCCTTGGGTTCTGATGTCCCTAGCTGATCTCCCTTGTCTCTACCTTTCGGGCTCTGATGTTTATTTTTGAATATATTATGCCCGGGGTTTTTCGTTGTATTTAGCGGAAAGAAGAGGAAAAGGTATGCTTATCTGATATTCTCAAAAGTGGAATATCTTTTCCTTTTATAGATGAAAAAACAAGAGAGAGAGGCTCAAAGAAGAGAGAACATGACTAAGGCCACTAAGTTAATTAACAGCTGCAGGCATCTCTGCCAGGGAAGCCCTGATGGTGCAGTGGTTACAGCACTTGGCTACTAATCAAGAGGTTGGCGGTTTGAACCCACCAGCCACTCCATAGGAGAAAGCTTAGCTGGCTGCTTCTGTAAAGCATATAGCCTTGAAGCCCCACAGGAGCTCCTTTCTGTCCTACAGGGCTCAGTTAGGAGTCTGAATCAACCTGATGGCTGTGGATTTGGTTTTGCTTGGCATAGTCTATCAATATCGCCTATTTTGTCTCCTCCTATAAGATTAGTTTTTTTAAAAAAAAAACAACCATAAGAACTATATCTTCTTTTCCATTTATTTTGTGTCTGGTCAAGTACCCAATTCAGTTCTTTGCGCCCAGTAATGATAACTTTTGAAGCGTACTATGTAACAGACACTGGCCTGGGGACTCTATATACAGCCTCTCCCCAAATCCTGAGAAGACTCCTGCAAAACAACTGCAATTATTCCCATTTTACATGTAAGAAAGCAGAAGTCTGCAAAGATGAAATAGCTGACCTAAATTCATACAGACGGTAAGTGTCAGGACTTGTTCCTGACACCACATTCTGCCTCTATCTCTCTCTGCCATCAAGTCTACTCTGATGAAACTGTATTCCATTCATAGAATCTATTCATTCATCTGACAAAATAGACCTTACCCCTGTGGGTTCCTGAGGCTGTAAGTCTTTATGGGAATAAGTGGAAAGCCTCATCTTTCACTCATGGAATGGCTGGTGGCTTTGAACTGCTGACCTTGTGGTTAAGCAGTCTCACATGTAACCATGAAACAACCAGGGTTCCTTCCTAGGCTCCCAATAAATCCTTATGTCATGAAACATAGTCCTAAGGGAGATTAGCAAAAACCAGCTGGAGAGTGAATTCTGAGAAGAGAAATTGAGCTTCAAATGGAACTGTAGTTTGGTAAGTGAAGCTTTAGATGGTAAAGCTCTCAGAGGAAATTAAATACACCAGGCAAAGTCATTTTCATATTACATGTTGAGTTAGTTAATTGTGCTAGCCTGGCCGATAATCACATGTGGTGCTGGTTGAAAGGCGGAGGGATAAATGGGTGGTGAAGCCTCGCCTTTCTAGTTCTCGGGTCTCTTGTTTTGTGATGGTTGCATCGGGTGCAGCTGCCTTAGCAGGTCCCTGCTTCAGCTTGCAAGATGGATTTCCTACAAGACATCCCCAAGGAGAAGCCACATGGATCTATCCCAATGCAGCCCTGAGTGCTGGAGCAGCCATATGGAGACCCCTGCCAGTGCTGAGATGCTTACACGTTCACTGACTCAGCTTCCTCCTGCAGTCGGCATTATTGCCTCTGTTTTGTGAGGTGAAGGACTTTGTGGACTGGTGTTGGGTATGGGTTAATTTTGGACTTGTGGGCTTGGGCAGCATTGGGTTGGGATGTTTTCGTGATGCACATTTTCTTTGCATAAAACTCTCTCTTATACGTGAGTTGCTGTGGATTTGTTTCTCCAAAGTACCTAGACTAATACACATGTCATTTCATATATTATCAAATACTTTAGCTATAAACCTGTCATTTCAGGAAATAATAACAATTTTTAAAAAGACAGAAACTCCAGGTTTGACTCTAATGTTTACTAACCCAAAATATAGTAAGTGAGCCTATACTCCTAATTGCAATGATTGCTAAAAGAATGTGATGCAGTTTTTAAAAGGGAAAAATCAGGAGTGGAACTGGGGTCCATAGTCCCTAGGGTGCTTCTCTAATCTTAGAGGCAAAGAGAATGATGAGAATGTTCATAATCTCATCCTCACTCCGTGGTGGACAATTTCTGGAAAGAGAGGGATCAAGGTGCTGAAAAGAGAGCCTGTGTACACATACATCCCACAAGTTTTCAAAAAATGAATCCCTGCAGTTCCAGATATAGCACCGTACATCACAGGAGCAATTTTAAAAAGGGGCCCAATTGTCTAGTCCTTTCTTTATCTCTTCTTCCTACCTGAATAATCCCAGCCAGAAAAGTTGTGGACGCCACCACATTCAAGGATCTGTTATAGGCCATAAAGAAGTAGGGATCAGAAAAGTCTTCCTTGATGAAAGTTCCCAACACCAGGTGGCCACTGTTGAAAGGGCTCACCTTCAGGACATTGATCATCAGAGAACTCACAAAGAAGAAGAAACCTATGAAGGAAGCACAATGTTTAGGCAGATGGGTGGTTTCAGGTCCAGGTAAACTCACAAATACTGCCACAAAGCAAGGCCTGTCTGATGGGCACTGCCCTTGTTCTAAGGCAGTGGTTCGCAACCTTCCTCATGCCGCGACCCTTTAGTACAATTCCTCATGTGGTGGTGATCCCCCATCCATAAAATTATTTTTGTTGCTACTTCATCACTGTCATTTTGCTACTGTTATGAATCAGGCAACCCCTGTGAAAAGGTCATTCGACCCCCAAAGGGACCACGACCTACAGGTTGAGAACCACTGTAGTCTAAAGAATCTCTCTTATTTGGAAGGAGCCAGGGAGAGGAAAGAACAAGGAAAAAAAGAACTCTGGCTCCACATATTGTGACCAGTTCACAGACTTTAGATCTTGGCAGTCCAGGTGCTACTAGTCTTGGATTATGGACATTGGAGTGGGGATCAAAGAAATTTACTGGACACGGGACTCGGTCTCAGCCACTGTGACTCTTAGTAGAAAAGGTGAAAAGTGAGATAATCAAAGGATTAGAAAACAAAACTAATCCATAATCCTAATAAGAAGAATGCCTAACATTCACGAAGGCTTTACTAATGGTACGCCCAGGGGAGGAAAGGGCTCACGCTGTGGACTTGAGTGCTTTGCTTGCTCTGCTATCATTTGTGAATTCATAAACTGACGTGCTCTATTATAAACCAGCTGTCACACTGGGTTATGTGAGTCCAGCTGAGAGAGTGATCCACTCTAGGATCTAGGCCGTTTGGGGCTCTGCTGGGTGACGGGCAGTTAGGTCATCTTAGCAAGTTACCTCCCCTAGTTTCCATTCCTTTAAGGAAATCCCTTGCTGGTTTGTTTCTGTCGTGGTTATATTAACCAAACCAAAAGAGCCCAAACTCACTGCCATCGAGTCGATGACACCTCATAGTGACCCCACAAGACAGGGTGGAACTGTCCCCGTGAGTTCCAGAGACAGCAACTGTTTGTGGGAGGAAAAGGCTTGTCTTTCTCCCTCAGAGAGGTTAGTGGTTTCGAACAGCTGGCCCTTCAGATCACAGCCCAGCTAGAAACCACTGCACCGCCAGGGCTCCTGTTATACTAACAATGGCGTACTACGGTCTGAACCCTAACCCTAGGGGTAGACTGTTTACTTTCTGCCTCCCTTTTTTCCATTTTAAAGTTAACTTTAAGTTGGATTCCTTCCAACACCCAAGCCAAACTCACTGCCATCAGGCCCATTCTGACTCATACTAAAATTCAGCTCCTTAGCAACGAGTGAACGTCTGATGGGAATGTCATCCTCTTTGTATAGTTCTAGCACCGAACTCACCAATAGACATTTGATGGCATGATCCAAGAATTGCATAAACCGTCGAAGAACAAAAAGCTGCATAAGCGATATTGAGAGGAGGAATCAGCTGCCTTGCCAGCAAACTAAACGTCAGGCCTGAAAAACAAGATAATCTAAGTAAGACAAGGTGGCTTGGCTTTTAAAAGTTACCTGAAATAACAACTGTAAGGAATAGCAATTGTAACGAATATTTTAAATCAAAATCATCTATGTATACAGCTAACTAGGTGTGGGTACTAATAGCCCCTGGCCTGCAGCCCTTATTTAGGGCCTTTGACTTCAGCTCCCATTACCCTCCCCCAGCTACCTCCCACCCAGACACCCCATTCTAGTTACTGTCCCTATAGATTCACCCGACACGGGTTTCATGTGCAGAAGAACATAGAGAGAACATAACAGAGAGTCAAGAACACTACCAATAATAACATTTTATGTGCCCTTCACTCATTCAACAACAGTCAACTCACAGCCAATCAGGTTTCATCTGGGCTCCCACTTCTCTCCCACTCTGTATTATTTTGAAGCAAATCTTATCTATTAAATAATTTCATCTGCAGAGATATTTCCATTATCTTGAAAAGATGGCTCTCTTTTAAATTTAACTACAATACCACCACCACCTCTAAGAAGTTAATAAAGGTTCTTTACCATGATCAAATGTCCAAGTTAATCAAAGGTCTTTAACATTGTCAACTATCCAATGTTCGAATGTCCTAATGATCTTATAAATGGCCGCTGTGGTACAGGGGTCACCAATGATTCCTGCCAACTGGTATTCACATTCGTGTGTAATCCTCTCCTCTGAAGTAGGGGTTGGACTTAAGTCATTTGCTCCTAATCAATAGAATACAGCAAAAATAATGGGATGCCACACCCAACATTAGGTTGCCAAAATACCATGGCTTCTGCCTGGACTGTTCTCTGGCTTTCTCTTTCTCACTCAGGCCCCCAGGTGCCCGAGCTGACTGTGTGCCAGTCTACTTGTGCAGAGAAGGGACTGCCGCCTCAAAAGACCCAACACTTGGTCTGACCCTCTGAATGATTTTGAAAATCTGAAAGATTTTGAACAAGAGGCCTCACATTTTCATTTTGCACTGGACCGACCCCACATAAAACAGTCAGTCCTGCCCGTTGCCAGGTTCTGAACATCCGGGAGCCGCCTATGGAGAGGCCCACATGGCAGTGAACCCAGGCCGCCAGCAATCACCTGGGTGAACTCAAAAGCAGACTGTCCAGCCTCAATAGACCCCCTTCAGATGACTGCTGGACTGCACCAACGTCATGAGACCCTGAGTTAGATGTATGGTGGGGCTGAGGGTAGTCTTTAAATTAATTACTTGCTACTACATGTGCGCTTTGCTTTAGCCTCTGTGCAGATAAGGTCCTCTCACTGCAATTGGTTTCTTGTCATCTTTTTTTTTTCTTCATATGTGATTTATTTATTTAATTATTTTAATCATTTTATTAGGGGCTCATACAACTCTTATCGCAATCCATACATACATCAATTGTGTAAAACGCATTTGTACATTCATTGCCCTC